GCTCTCACTGCATGGAATTAACCGCACGCCGCTTCACTTGTTGCTTTGATGAAATGATAGAACAGGATAAAGGATTGTTTCTATGGTGGACGTGTTTCTGTTGGGAGGAGCTGATGGAGGAACCAAGCAGGAAGTGACATCATCAGAGCAGAGCTCTCTAACCCTGAAATCCCACATCCACCGTCACCAGTGCTCCTTTTTTTTTTTTTTTTTTTTTGGAGGATGTTGGGGAAAAAATGTCAGAAAGTTCCCATCCCTGCATCAGAGCACTACCTGTTGGATCTATGAACGGTTTTCTATGCTTCAACCAAACTAGCAGCATCCCTTTGGGATCCGTGGCCTGAGACACACCCACCGCTTTGTCTACATCAGCCACCTGCCTGGCACCGCGCTGCGCCGCGCAGAAACCTGCTGCAGGATGTGATGCTAATCTTTTTGACAGAGGTGTTTACCTTTATTGTTTAAATTTAGTTATTATACAAATGTTAACAGCTTTGGAAAACATATTGAACGTTTGTTTGACCTCCTGTAATATATTGAAATTAACAAAAGCTCCATGGAGCCACAAGGGGGCCCTAAAGAGCCTTAATTAGACCCCTGGTCTAACTGGTCTGCAGTAGGGATGGGCGATATGTTATCGTGTGCGATATATCGTCAAAGAAATTCCTCGTGGTAACAATTTGTCATCTCGCGATAAAAATGATAAACTCCCACCGGTGACGTATACTGCGCGTGACGCAGCTGCAGTCCAACTCACGTGCGAGCCATGCGCAAACAACAAGCATGGCGGAAGGCGGAGGAGAAGTGCCCCAAGACCTGGTTCCTAAAAGAGGCTCCAGCTCCGTTATCTGGAACTGGTTTGGATTTAAAAAGTCTGATACGGAGTAGAAAGTCGTAATATGCTAAGTTTGCAGACAACCTGTGACGACAACGGACAGCAACACTACCAATTTATTTCACCACCTAAACCACAAATACAAACCGGAATATGATGCTAGTCAGAAGATGTGCTGCGATGCAGCAGAAGCCTCGACTTCGAAAACCTCTGTTAAGAAACCGACTGCCACTCAAACAAAACTTGCCGACGCGTTTGCTCATTCCACACCATATGACAGCCAAAGCAAGCGATAAAAAGAGTTAACAGAGGCTGTTGCACAGAGAGGTATTTCAATTTTTATATTCTTTTTAAATTTATTGAAATTATTTTTTTTTTATTTCATTGTT